GTTGGGACTTGTAAACTGAAGGGCTTCAGAGAAACCCTTGGATCCCTTCAAACTATATAAAAATTTTGCTGTGTATATATATTTATGGTTTTCTGGGGAGATCCATAGATTTCATTAGATTTTTTTTTTTAAGATTTATTTATTTGACAGAGAGAGAGAGAGACAGCGAGAGAGGGAACACAAGCAGGGGGAGTGGGAGAGGGAGAAGCAGGCTTCCCGCCAAGCAGGAAGCCCGATGCGGGGCTCAATCCCAGGATCCTGGGATCATGACCCGAGCCGAAGGCAGACGCTTAACCGACTGAGCCACCCAGGTGCCCCTAGATTTTTTTTTTTTTTAAGATTTTATTTATTTATTTGACAGAGAGAGATAGCGAGAGCAGGAACACAAGCGGGGGGGAGTGGGAGAGGGAGAAGCAGGCTTCCTACGGAGCGGGGAACCTGACGTGGGGCTTGATCCCAGGACTCTGGGATCATGACCCAAGCAGAAGGCAGACGCTTAACAACTGAGCCACCCAGGCTCCCTGATTTCATTAGATTTTTAAAAGACACTTGGTATCTAGAAAAGCTAAAGGAGACACATTTAACTATAAATTAGTGTAATAAATGTTGTAATAAGGATAAAAATAAAGGTCTGTGGGAGATTAATGTAAACATTGGAGGCCCACCATGTTCAGTGTCCTACATAGGACTCATTTGATATAGGCCTTTGCCCTGTGCATAGTATAGTGACTGGTGTATGTAATGTTTGTATTAGTGAGGGTCAGGTAGTAATGGGTGGGTTTTTTTTGAAGATAGTTTAATGAAGGGATTATTGGCAGAGGTGGGCATGCTTTAAGGTAACCAGAAATGAATGGTGAATTACCCAGGGCCTGGCAATGGTTGGAAATTTATCCACCCAGGGTAACGGGCAAGAGGATGGGAGTTATGTTCCAGAACCCAATAAGAGTTTTAGGCATGGAAGAGGAGCCCTTTAACAGGAGCTGTGGCCAAAGAGGAAACATAGCAGGGAGTAAATTGTACCATTACTTCTATCTCTTTACACCTTTTGCTTTTCTGCTGTTGCTTCCTGTTGGGAAGGACTGTCTCTTATGCACAGTATTGTGCATATAAAAGTGGGCCTTGGGCTCAGAATACTTCCCTACCAAGAGAAGAGGAGCTCACATAGCCTGTGCTGGGTTTACCACCTTTGTGGCATTATCTTTCCTGGTTTCATGCTTACTGGGTGTTTCTTTGTTCTGCTTAAGCATAGTCAATGGCTCTCACATATGCCCTCAGATATTTCAGTATTTCAGACTCCAGGGACAGTGTGGGGTAGAGAGGGGGAAGGTCCTTCTATTGCACCACCAGAGGGGTGGGTGCTTGTAGCTCCATTTCCGTTAGTCAGCTAGCTGCTGGGGGCACCCACTAGCCATAAGGGACTGATGCATACAACTGGAACTGATCTTTATCTTCTCTAATGTAAGTAAAGCATTATCCAGTCCTTGACTTTTACAGTGTTTTCCTTGGCAACTTTGATACGAAGATGCAACAGGCAGACGTGTCTGGAGTCCTCACCTGTGATTGGTAACCTATGCTTGGTGTTCTTTTTGACACTTCCTCTCCTTGGCAAAATCCACCCAGAAACTAAAGGGCAAGTGAGGACTTGGATAATGTGGTCTTTAGAGATAAGGGAAGGCAGAAGCACAGAGCAGGTCCTAAGAGTGAAGAATGAATCTGGAGGGACAAATGGAGAATAATCAGCAGAGTGCTTAATACTTATTTGTTGAATTAAATTGAATTTTTATTGTTAAACATAGTTTAGGTTTATGTATTAAAGTGAAAAATAATCAAATGCCTAATGCTTTAATGTTTCTGATATAAATACCTTTAAATTAAAATCTCTTTGGAATTGTAGAGGCAGCTATTTGTCTTTTGAGTAGTTGAAGTAGTAAAATGACAATAATTATTAATCTATAAAAATGTGAAATTTTATATAGACTAACTCAATTTTTCAAGACTTTATGTTTTTTAAATATGCATTTTTCGAAATGTGAAAATTTGGATTATTTAATCTAGAGAAGACCAATTCATTTTCTAGGGCCTACCGCAAAAATTACTTCTATGAATCTTCCTTTAGACAAATTTCAGGGTTTACAGAACACTGTTCATACTTCTGTCATACCTTATATTCAATAATAGCTAGTTATTTTTATTGATAATATTAAAAGCAGTTCACATTTACTGACTGTTCACTCACTATGTGCCAAGCCACTATATTGAGTCCTTTATATATATTATTATATTTTATCCTCACAATAACCCTAGGAAGTACAGATACGATTGCTTGGTGCTTGGGATGCCTCAATGGACAGAACAAGTTCCACAAAGGCTAGTGATCTTTATATGCTGGTATTAATATTTCTGCACCATTTTGTTGTTGTTGTTAGTATCCCCTAGTTACTCTTTTCATTGAGTGCTCGTTATGTGTATTAACCATTTAGATTTTTTTCTATGAAGCCCTTGACCTTTTGCCCATTTTTCTTTCTTTCTTTCTTTCTTTCTTTCTTTCTTTCTTTCTTTCTTTCTTTCTTTCTTTCTTTCTTTCTTTTTCTTTTTTTAAGATTTTATTTATGTATTAGAGAGAGAGGGAATACAAGCAGGGGGAGTGGGAGAGGGAGAAGCAGGCTTCCTGCTGAACAGGGAGCCCGATGTGGGGCTGGATCCCAGGACCCTGGGATCATGACCCAAGCCGAAGGCAGACGCTTGATGACTGAGCCACCCAGGCACCCCATTGCCCATTTTTCTATTGAATTGTCCCTCTTCTTATTATTGATGTGAGGGAATTCTATATGTGTCTTTGGATATGTGCTCATTGTCTGTTACGTGTTGCTAATGACTTCTCCCGTTCCGTGGCAAATTTAGGCTGAAGAATTAAGAACAACTATCTGGGTAGGCAAAGGCAAATATTTCTAGTCAGATGGAGGAATAAACAAGGTTATAAGGAAGGGAAATAAATTCACACATGAAACAGTTGAGTAGTTTGTTTGGACTGAGGTTCATTAAAGTGAACCAGTGGAAGATAAGACTGGAAATTTCAAACTACATAGCCTCAGGGAAGCTCCAGAAAATGGCAAAAAAAATACCTCAACAGAATATCTTATTTTAAATCAGTACTCACTTCCCTTCTGTTCAGGACAACCTGTCTAGACAACCTGAAAGGAACTTGGGAAACTATTTTGCCTCTCTGGATAGGTAGCTCTAGACTTCCTCTCCTCTGCCAGGGAAAGAATCTTCTTTCCTAAAGTGCACCAGTGTTACTGCCTGGTGAAAAGGTATATCTTAGAACTAGAACTGAGAACTATAGATAAACTTCATCTTGTCCATGAAGAGCTCTAGATTTCTAAGAGAAAGCTAACTGTATATTAAAGTTAAAGCACCTCATACAGGTGCTCTTTGTTTCCTGGTTTTTCTCATGATAGAGTCTTCCCTTGAAGATTTGGGGCTTTGATTTCCTAAGACTTGTATTCTCTTACGGAACTTGTAGACTGATGTCTGTAGGGCTTTTTGGTTTTATCATCCCTCTAGTCTCAGCCTCCAGCTAACTACTTCTGCACCAATGTGAAATGAATCCATTCTGTTTCCTACTGAGATTATTCTAGATTTTTTTTTTTAATGGTCTTTCTTGGGTCTAGTGGATTTACCTCTCTCACCACTAATCAGACAAAAACATTTCTGTGATGTCTCTCCTTAATTTCTGTATCCATCAAAATTTGATTTGGTTACAAGTGCCTGGAAATTATAGTGGCTTATGAAGATAGAATTCTATTTTTATCTCATATAAATAAAGGCAGTCCAGGGGTGCTATGCAGCTCCATGATCATTAAGGACACAGTCTCCTTTCATCCCATTGTTTTTCCTTCTTTATCCAAAATGGCTGCTCTAGGTAGAATGTCTACATTTCCAGCAAGCAGGAATGGAAAAGGAGAAGGACATTTCCTTCATCCCTGAAGGACTTCTCAGAAGTTGCACATACCACCACCCTGCTTATTATCTTAAAAGCCAACACTTAGTTAACATAGCCATAGTCTAAGGGAGGCTTGGAAAAATGTCTGGTTAAAAATAGGAACTCTTGATCCTAGAGAAGAAAGGGAGAATAGATGTTGGGGGGAAACCATTGATCTCTGCTACATAAACCTTTTCTGTTGTGATTTAAATATTTTTCTGAAATGGTAAAGGAGAAAAGCATAGAATAATATGGAGTATATAACCAATTTAAAATAGATTTTTATCATAATGAGCTCATAATTTTAGATTCTGAATTCTTGGCTCTTATTTAAAAAATTTTTACATTGGTCTAGAGAAGTAGAAGTAAATTAACTTTTAAATTATTCATAATTTTTACTAGTTTTTGGCAGTTTGACTTCTTTACTAAACATAGGTCTAATGTTTTATCAAAATTTTAAATATAGCAAATGCCATTGAGCATTGTAAATATAAAGGGAATATGTGCTTTTTATCTTCGTAGAAGATAAGTATATTTAACCCACTATTAAGAATAATTTACAGGGGCGCCTGGGTGGCTCAGTCAGTTGAGCATCCTACTCTTGGTTTCCGCTCAGGTCACGATCTTGGGGTCGTGGGATCGGGTCCCATGTTGGGTTCCGCACTCAGTGTGGAGTCTACTTGTCACTCTCCCTCTGTTCCCGCACCCCCCAAAATAAATAAATAAAATCTCAAAAAATTTTAGTAATAGGTAACATACAAGCTCTTGGATAGAATGAATTCAAATATATGGAAATTAAATGATACCTAGAATAATTTTGGTTTACTGAAAATTAGCTGATATAGTACGCAATAGGTAGAATCCCATAGACACTGCAGATTAAAAAAAAATTCTATCCTTCACAGCAGAGCTTGAGGGAAATGTATTTAACGTAATTATTTTCATTATTTAAAATGGCTTACTTTAAAAAAGCTAGTGTGTAAGACTGTGTAAGTGATAATCATTTTTTCCTTCATAGGCAAGAAGTTTGATAGCTGTAGGACTGGGTGTTGCAGCTCTTGCATTTGCAGGTAAGATAAATAAAGGATAAATGTTGCAGAAGAAATATTTTCAAATAGTCTCTATAGTGATTCATGAAGAGACCCTCCGTATTCTGAGGTTTGGGTTTTAAGACATACATTCTCATTTTTTCCTCCCATTTATAGTCACTGAACATTTGTCAATGTAGCAAAAACTAGATGAACTGTGTAAGTGAAGAAAATTAACAATGTATGAAGCTACTGGGGCGCCTGGGTGGCTCAGTTGTTAAGCGTCTGCCTTCGGCTCAGGTCATGGTCCCAGGGTCCTGGGATCGAGCCCCACATCGGGCTCCCTGCTCAGCGGGAAGCCTGCTTCTCCCTCTCCCACTCCCCCAGCTGTGTTCCCTCTCTCGTTGTGTCTCTCTCTGTCAAATAAATAAATAAAAATCTTAAAAAAAAAAAGCAAAAAACAAAAAACAATGTATGAAGCTAGGAAAACTAGCCCCAATAATAGTTGACCTTCCTGGCATTTTTTTAGTTTGAGCTATATAGTATACTTTAAAAAAATTCTTTAATATGAAGCAATGTAAGTGTTACGGGGTTCCTTTATTCTACCATGTTGGATTTTTTTCTTGCAGGGTTAGATTACACATTTCCTGAGCTGTAGCTTTTTCTGATGAGCATAGTTGTTCCCTGCAATGTATTAGTTACTTCATTTTTAACACATTGGTGTAATTTTTTTGATAAACTCAGGAGAATTTCTTTTACTGCCCACATCACCAAAGAATAGTTATAAAAATTTAAAGCAAAATTGCTCTCTTCCAGTCATTAACTTATAGTTTTAAATTACCTAGCTATTTCCTAATCATATGTTAATCTGAGAGCATCTCTTTGTTGATAAAGCTTTACATTTTTTGTTTTAGCATTTGTATCTCAAGTTCCATGGGTTTGATTTTGTTTCTTGGATCTTCTTTTTAAAGTGAAGCTACATTCCATTGTGGTTATATGGAGTTAGTAAAATCCAGTAAAAAAATGAGACATAAAAATTTTTTGTTTTGTTTTACAAGTATGGTACTTAATTTCACACGACTCTCTTTTAAAGCACCTTAACAATAAACACTTTAAAATCAAGAAGATCAGTGGTTCAGATTCTCTTAGTCTTTGTGCCATCAGGGTCTTGTATCTTGATACTGTAACTGTGCTGAGGTTTCATGAAGAGACTATCATGTCCACAAAGGAATTCTGACAAACTGGCCCATAAACATGGAACAATTTTAGTGTTAACTGTTACAGTATTAACTATAATTGGCATAGTTATTTTAAAATTCAAATGTAAGATTTTTATTTGAAATTAAAGAAAGATGCTGTAGTTTTTTGCCAGGTTCTTCTTTCTCAAATGAGAAGAATTGGCATACATGTTGTGTATATACCATGCTGTTGCCAAGTTCTTATCTTTTTTTTTTTAAGATTTTATTTATTTATTTGACAGAGAGACAGTGAGAGAGAGAGAGCACACAAGCCGGAGGAGTGGGAGAGGGAGAAGCCGGCTTCCCACTGAGCAGGGAGCCCGATGTGGGGCTTGGGCTGGATGTGGGGCTCGATCCCAGGACCCTGGGACCATGACCTGAGCCGAAGGCAGACGCTAATGACTGAGCCACCCAGGCGCCCCGCCAAGTTCTTATTACTAACTAGAATATTAAATAGCAGGAACATCTCTTCCAGAGCCAAATACAACTGAATAATAGAATTTAGGAGACAGTATACTTACACTTGTTGGAACTAGGTCTTCTGGTTTATGATTCAAGTAAACCTCCAGATGTCACTTGTTGAAGGTTTTGCTTGCTGTTTTCATTGAGACTGCCGATTATATGTGCTTTTAAAGGAATTTTGCGGTAATTTAAAAGCTATACTTTGTACCATTGTAGAATCAGATGGACGTTGACATCTCTAGGGTAAGAGATTTGGATGAATTAGGCTTTCACTTATTTAATTTCATTTATTTAATTTATTTAATTTACCTTTATTTAATGTTCTCCTTGATCTCAAGAATTTTTTGTCTTCTACTTGGATTGACTACTTCCCATTTTCCATTTCTAGCATCCTATTTTTCACTTTCACATGTTGTTTGCACAGGAATAACAGTATGTTTAGATAGTAACTTTTTCTAGAAGATGTTTGTAATTGAACTTCCCCAGTGGAAATCTTCATTTGCGAAGAAGGTTATGGCTGGAAATTGAATAAAGTCCAGAGTGTCATAATGGGTTTTCTAGCAAGACTTTTCGGGAAGAAAGACACTACTATTGGTAGATACATATGCTGATTAGGGTACAAAAGGTAAATTGACCAGGTAATATTTTATTCTTGTTCCATACCCTCAAAACAATTTGGAACCTGTTTTGCTGTTGAAGACTCAGAGAAGTTTTAATTAGTAGGATACCTAAGAAAAGAAAACACCAAAATAAAATATGTTTTTAGGAGAATAGTCATCCTCAGTGAGAAATTGACAGTAAACATCTTTGGTGAATATTTCTTACATAACTGCTTTTTTACTTTAGAGGTAATTCCATTAAAATTATTCCTATGTTTTACAGATCATAAGTAGTTTTTGTTTTCTATATATTTCAAAGTGATTATCATGGAGAAAACCAGTACAAATAACCAGATATGTGAATATACATATGTGAGAGAACTTTATCTACAGTTTGTGGTGGAAGGAGTACTAGGATATTATTTTTTTGTTACCTAGCATATTGTATAAATGTAAGAAACATAAACATTGACATTTTCTAATTTTATAATCATGAATTAGAACTTGATAAATTTAGTAACTCTTTTAATGATGTTAAAATGAAATGCTTCCTCTATTTAATAAATTAGAAATTTGAAAAAATAGGACTTTCTGGTAAATTTTGAAATGGTTGTTGAAATAACATATATAGAAGAAGCTATCAGTAAATATTGTGGTTAGTACCTTGTGGGTATTGTATTTGATTATAGAAAATATATTTGCTTTTATTCCTGTTATTATTTAGGTCGCTATGCATTTCAAATCTGGAAGCCTCTAGAACAAGTAATCACAGAAACGGCAAAGAAGATTTCCACTCCTGTGAGTTAAAGATGGCTTTAGCAAGAAGGCTCATTTTGACTTTTGTTTATATGCCGTATTTGATAGTAATTCAGAAAATGTCTTGGATTTTCCAACATTTATAGTTTACTTTCTTGATTATATCCTTGGATGGTTTGTTTAATTTATTGATTTGTTTTAGTTTCTTGGCCACATTATTTTTATTTCTAACCTCATTCCTGCTTTTGACATCTAATTACTATATTCTTTTTTAAGATTTTTAATTTATTTATTTGAGAGAGAGAGAGTGAGAGAGAAAGAGAGAGGATGAGAGGGAGGAGGGTCAGAGGGAGAATCTGAGCTGAGCAGGGAGCCTGATGCGGGACTCGATCCTGGGACTCCAGGATCATGACCTGAGCCGAAGGCAGACGCTTAACAACTGAGCAACCCAGGCACCCCCTAATTACTATATCCTTTTTAGTAGTATCACACCAACTTTGAGATAATTTATCTTTTTTGTTTAGTTAATATTATTTATTCTTGCAGTGATTTTCTGTAGTAATCCCTGTGGTAGAAGCTGGGTATAGTTGATGAACAAAACAGACATGGTCCCTGCCCTGATGGAGCTTACCCAAGAATTTATTTCATCCTAAAATTTGAAACTGGTCCCCTTGTACCACCACCTGGTCATCTCAAACATAAAATGATAAGATTCCAATCCTGAAATCTGTAGGGCTTATACATTCATCTACAGGCATTGTAGTTACTCTCCTGAGCTGAATATAAGTGAAGAATGAATGATAGTGGGTATCTAAAAGACTACAGTGTAGTGAACTGGTTTGTAACCACTGGACACAATGCAGAGAAAACTCACTGAAGCATTACAGCATAAACATTGACTTCTGGGAAATAGAAACAGATATGGGATAGATCAACTTGGCTTGCAGCAATTTGAGAATGAATGGCTTGTTTTAGCAAAGGCATTACAGGCTTGTGAGGCTTAGTTAGTCATGAACAATGACCACACTTTCAAAGGATGACATACTGACAAATAATTAAACTCAGGTTCAAAAGAAGTGCAAGTGATATTGCAGACCTATAAATGGTATGTCTGTGATTAGAGGGAACATTTTTTTGGAGGGTTATTTTTTCCTTCTGTTTTCCTACTTATATTTTATTTGGCTGCAGTATGAATAGGTATTTAGCATTCATTCAGTAAGTATTCATTAAACTCCTACTACATGCCAGACATTATTGTGGGGAGTGGGCTGTGGTCGGGGAACCATAAAAAGACATTGCCCTTAGGAGCGTACATTTTAGTGGACACAGGCAATTAACAAGTAAATAAGTAAAATACATAATATGTAGAAGTGTTGACTGCTTTCAAGAAAACTAAATCAGTGTAAGAGGTTAAAGAATAAAAGCAGTGAGGCCTCTCTCTTCCTCGGCGCTGCCTGTGGAGGTGGTAGCCATCTGTTACTGGGCATCATGGCTGCCCTCAGACCTCTGGTGAAGCCCCAGATCGTTAAAAAGAGGACCAAGAAGTTCCTCCGGCACCAGTCAGACCGCTATGTCAAAATTAAGCGCAACTGGCAGAAACCCAGAGGCATTGACAATAGGGTGCGCAGAAGATTCAAGGGCCAGATCTTGATGCCCAACATTGGTTACGGGAGCAACAAGAAAACAAAGCACATGTTACCCAGTGGCTTCCGGAAGTTCCTAGTCCACAACGTTAAGGAACTTGAAGTGCTGCTGATGTGCAACAAATCTTACTGTGCAGAGATTGCTCACAATGTTTCCTCCAAGAACCGCAAAGCTATTGTGGAAAGAGCAGCCCAGCTGGCAATCGGAGTCACCAATCCCAACGCCAGGCTGCGCAGCGAAGAAAATGAATAGACAGCTTGTTGTGCACATCATATTTGTGTTAATAAAACCATAAAACCTAAAAAAAAAAAAAAAAAGAATAAAAGCAGTGAGGAATCTATATTAGATGGGTCAGGGAAGTCCTCTCTGAGATGAGGGAGAAGGCCAGGTGAATCTCTGAAGAAAGAGCTTTCCAGGCAGTGAGAACACTGCAAAGGTCCTGAGGTGGAAATGAGCTTTGCAGTGAGAATAACTCCAGAGGAGTATGCAAAGAGAATAGTGGTAGAGTAGGGCTTAGATCATTTCAAGCCCAATAGACTGCAAATTTTACTTTCAGTATAATGGAAAGCTTTCGGAAGGTTTTTGAGCATGGGGGCAATGTGATTTGCATTTTAGATCATCACTCTGCCCACTGCATGGAGTGTCGACGGGAATGAGCCAGAGTAAAAGCTATCAATCCAGTTAAGAGGGTATTGAGATAGTGCAGGTAATAGATAATAGTGGCTTGAAATATAGGAATGGAAATAGTGACGTAGTTCTTTAACGGATTGTTATTTATGTCTTTCCATATGTTTATAAATAACGAATGGAGCAAATTTCAGAAATTATTTCTCTTCTGTTAAGGTGATCTTCGGTAGATATATTTATATTGTAAACAAAAGACAAGTTTTGTAGAACTACGTTATTTAACATTGTAAAGGAAGAGAGCAAGAAAATGAGAAAATTTTCACTGCTCTGTGGAGGCTCACGGATAAGGTAGAATAATTTAAGAGACTGTCACGGGTATACTGAACTTGGCACCTGCATTTCTTAAGGAGAGAAATGATGTATCCCTCTTTCCTTCTCCTTTGTGGGCCTGAGGTAAGGTACACTTTTATATAAATCTGGCCCTTTTCTCCCCCACGAAGTACTACTGCAATTTGCAGTGAAAATATTTCTTAGAACATCTTTATTATCATCATCGTCATCATAATTATACCTCTCTGAAGATTAGAGTGTCTTAAAAAATTCTTTAAATATTAATAATTCTAGGGAAACTGAGAAATAAATATATACATACTTTCTCTTGGCAAACTAATGATTTCAAAGTGTCAAACTTCACAAAATAACGGCATTTACAGTGTTTTGATGTTGTAAATATGATTCATTATGAAACTAAATAGAGTTGCTAAAAAATGGGAATTGTAATCGTGTGCCACTAAATCTCTGTGACTCAAAAGAAGGCCTGCAAGGTTCAAGTTCCTGTGGGTTCTTTTTAAATTTTTTCTTGAAGTTTGCTTTCTCTGTACTTTAACATCATCTTGTTCTTAAATCTCATCTTTGTTTTTTCATACCTTTTTTCCCTTCATTTTTCTGGAATACTGCCTGGAGTAATTTTTTCATATGGAATGCATGGATAGTAAATGTCTTAAGTTCTTCTCTGCCAACAGTTTTTTCTTTTGCTCTCACTGTTAATCATCAGTTAGCTGCTGGCTCTTTGGAATGTGGTGGAGCCAGTATGAGAGGAGTACAGAAATCTCTGCTCAGGGGGCTCCTGGCTGGCTCAGTCAGTGGAGCCTGCTGCAGCTCTTGATCTTGGCGTCATGAGTTCAAGCCCCACGATGGGGGTAGAGATTACTTTAAAAAAAAAAAAAATCTCTGCTCAGACTGAATGAACCTCAATGCCCACATACGTGGTTCCTTAGCCACATTTTCTGGTACACTCAGACTCTCAGCCAGAATTTCTGATGTTCTTATATTTACTCCTTTGTAAGCAGCCTGTTTTGGTTTTCTTTTGTTGTTTGTGTCTAAAACACAAACTTTAGTTTTTTGGTGATTTTTGTTTGTTTTTTAACTCTGGAAGTTTTGGGGGTTTTCTCTTTATTATTGATGTTCTGAAATTTCACAGGTATTCTTAGTGAGACTTAAGTGAAAATTGTCTATCTTTTGTCTTAGAAGATTCTCTTATACTGTTCTTTAATTATTTTTTCCTTCCACTGTCTCTCTTCTCTGTTCCTGGAACTCTTATTAGAGACACATTGGACCTCTAAGTGTATCCTTTACATCTCTAAACATTTTCTTTCTTATTTTCCATCTTCTTATCTTTTTGTTTTACATTCCACAGTATTTCCACAGCTTATTTTCCAGATCACCAGGTTGGTTTTAGCAGTGGCTATTCTGTTATTTAGTCCATCTGCTAAATTTTTTACATCAGTAATATTTTAATATCTGAAAATTTTTTTTCTTTTTCATAGCAACTTACCCTTTATGGTTATAAGATACTAATTCAAATTTTGTCAAATCCTCTTCTGTTTCCTGATTTATCTCCTTCCTCCAAAAGCCAGTTGTTATTTGTTCATCTTTGTTCTGCTTTTCCCCCATGATACTGGATTTGTTCAAATGTCTGATAATCCTTGGTTATTGGTTTATGTTTGTGGGAACTAAGTTGATTAATATAAGTGGACTTCCTCAGCAGTTTGGTAGACTCACTTCAGTAATTTAATTGAATGAGAGTGTTGATAATGGGCTGTGAATACATAGATGGGTCATGTCAACAGCATGTCTTCCAAAGCAAGGAGCCCAGAGACAGGCTTGGGACCTCCAGAGAGAGACTGAGGAGAGATTGAGTACCATGTATATTTTATTCCTTGGTATAACTGTGTCCCTCCCTGGCCTTCTGGGTTCTGAAATGTGATCTGCTGGTACTCTCCTTGGCTTCTCTTGGGACCTACCCCCAACAATGAGATACATCCCAGGCATGCAATTGTCTTTCTTAGCCTGAGGACAAAATGACAGGCAGTAGGCCCCTTATGCTCTGTATTACTGGAGTTAGAAATGGTCATTTCTGCTGTTCTGGTTTAATTAATTATCCTGATGTTGTGACTGTATTTGTTGACTCGAAAGGTAGGGTTTTCTTCTTAATTTCCTGAGAAGGGTTTTCTTCTTTCCTCTGGTATTTGAGGCTGCAGTTATTTTTCTGTATGTGCAGTCTTATCTGTTTTCAACCTTTCAGAATTTCTTTAAAGTTATTTGTATCATCTCTTGTTTTCTAGGCCTATAATGGACTTTTCCTTTTAAAAACATCTCTCTTCTCATTTCAAAGGCACTTTAGAAAGCAAAAGACCTTTTTTATGCAATCTTCTGTTTTGAACCAGTACTTTTTTGCTTGATTTTTAGTATATTAACATGTTATTAACTCAGCTAATGTTTAACTACCCCTAATTTTTTTCCTGGGGAAAAAACCCAAGTCATTCATCTTCTTTTAAGGTTTTATTTTTCTGTTTGTGAAAATGTCCTTTTATTTGAATATAATTTTTAAAAATTGGACTTCTGGGGCACATGGGTGGCTCAGTCGTTAACTGTCTGCCTTCGGCTCAGGTCATGATCCCAGGGTCCTGGGATTGAGCCCTGCGTCAGGCTCCCTGCTCAGCAGGAAGCCTGCTTCTTCCTCTCCCACTCCCCCTGCTTGTGTTCCCTCTCGCTGTATGTCTCTCTGTCAAATAAATAAAATCTTTAAAAAATAAAAAAATAAAAATTGGACTTCCTTTGTCTTATGGTTAAGTGAAATTCATGGAAAAGCACAAAATAAAATCATCCCTCTGTGGCTCTCTAAATGAAATAGATTATTGTAAATAATAGGAATTTATAGTTTATGGTAAAGGTATTTCTTAAGATTATGGAATGATATAGTTCTTCTTTGGTTGTCTGGAGGGCTTTTGTATTTCCAGCTCTTGGTTGAGTAAATTTTCTAATGAAGATTTTGTTTAACTTGGTTCATTTCATATTTCCTTTGGTAATATATGGCACTATAGCATTTAAAGCTAATTTTATTTTATTTTATTTTATTTATTTTTTAAAGATTTTATTTATTTGAGAGAGAGAGAGAGCAAGTGATAGAGCAAGAGAGCATGAGCCAGGGGAGGGGTAGAGGCAGAGGGAGAAACAGACTCCCCGCTGAGCAGGGAGCCTGATGTGGGACTTGATCCCAGGACCCTGAGATCATGACCTGAGCTGAAGGCAGACGCTTAACCGACTGAGCCACCCAGGAGCCCTTAATGCTAATTTTAGATGGAAAATGATTTTGAGGTATGTTGTTTATATATATACTTTATGAATAGAATAATACAAAATAATAATTTGTAAGGTTCAGGGTATATTTCAAATAGCAGCATAAAAGTAGTGGAATCATACTCTTTCTGTTCTTAGAAATTCTATTAGAAAAGTATAACCAAAAAAAAAAAAAGTTTAACCATCTACTCTATTTGATGTAGTTGTTCTATAGTTGTTCCTTATAGATATGCACAGATTCACTCACTCATAAGCAGGTCAGTGTTTCAGGATGTGAGCCTCATCCAAATACTAGCTTTTAAGTTCTGGGTCTCCTTTTCCACCTGGGCAAAACTAAAAGTAAACAATTGCTCCAATACAATATCTGCCATTAGGGTTAATGAGCTTTGTGACTAGTGGGAGTGACACTTCATGAAACATCAATTTATCATGTTTATTATGTTGAAATTTTGGAGCTCCCTAAGGTAAAAAAATACTTAAAGAAATGTCTGGGAGAAAGGTATGCATCTAGTAAAAATTTTAGTCTGCTGAGAGAAAACTTAAAACCAGCTGTTATTCCTCTGTTAAATCCCCTAGTCCTTTATATAGTCCCCTCCGTGTGTGTGTGTGTATGTGTGTGTATACATGTACGTGTGTGCATGTGTATAATTTGTCCAGGTTACTATGTGTACTTAAATAATTTGATTCTCTTCCTCCACTCAGACCTTGGAGAAGGGTATTATTTTTAGTTTTCTTTCCAGATTGTTAATTACTTGAAACTTGAAATCGTCTATCATATTCCTCACAGTACTGGTACATTGATAGATTAGCATCTGTGTGATGAAGGACAAAACTTGACCTGTCTCATTTGAAATGTTCCTGGCATGTGCTAGGTGCTGAAGTGCTTGTTAAATGAATTAATTGCCAGGGAATTATTACCACGTAGAAATTTATAACAAGCTGTTCAAAGACAACAGCTTATATAAATGACCAGATCTGGTTCATTTTTTAAGTTCTAATAATTTCCTTGGTCTTTTATTTAGTTCTCTTTTTTAAAAATTGTACAGGTAGCCTATGTTCATCGTTGAAAATTTAGAAAGTAAAAATAAACATAAAGAAAAAAAATTATTCATGATGTCACCAACCAAAAATAACATTTTAGTGTATATACTTTCTGATGTTGTTTTATGTAAACATACACTTACTTATTTTTCCTTACAAAAATAGGGGTTCATGTTTTAAAAACTTACAAGCAGTACAATCATTGATGTATTTTTTCCTTCTAAAAGTTGAGTTCATGCATCCCGTTTCTCTGTTAAGAACTCCTAAAGCATTGTCTGTACTTGCTGTTTTCCATTCCTTCCCTCCTGTTCTCTCTTAAACCCACTCTAATCAGACTCTTGCTCCCACTCCCTGCAGCTCTAAAAAAGAGCTTTTTTTGTTAAAGATTTTATTTATTTATTTGGCAGAGACACAGCAAGAGAGGGAACACAGGCAGGGGGAATGGGAGAGGGAGAAGCAGGCTTCCCACTGCGCAGGGAGCCCGATGCGGGGGCTTGATCCCAGGACTCTGGGATCATGACCTGAGCTGAAGGCAGCCAGCCGCTTAATGACTGAGCCACCCAGGTGCCCCTCCCTGCAGCTCTTGTCAAAGACTTTGACCTCTCTGATAAATCCAGCAGTCAGGTCTTAGCTCACATCTGACTTAACCTATCAGAAGTGTTTGAAACTGTTTTTCCCTTCCTTACTTTTGGTATCTGCTTTTCCTTCTGCCTCACTGCTGGGCTTCCTGTCTGCTTACTGATTCATCTCCGTTTCTCTGCCCCTCAGACTTGCAATCTCTAGTGCTCAGTCTTTGGACTTCTTCTTTTCTCTCACTCCTTAGAAGGTGATCTCATTCAGTCTCATGGCTTTACCTACTGTAAATATACTCATGACTCCCAAATGTTACCTCCAAGTCACATTTCTCCATTTAGATATGGATATCTCCATTTAACCCAAAAGACCACCAGCATGTGAATAATAACCCAGTAGGGAGGCGGGTGTGTGATCAAAGCCCTGATTGGCATGCCTTAGCAGCCAATCCACAGGCGGCCCACACTCAGGATCCTTAAGATAGTTCCACAAAAGAGCTCATAAGAACCCCTAGATTTAAATGTCAAAACGGCAACCCTCTTGGGCCCCCTCCCTCTCTGGGAGCTCTGCACTATCGCTCAATAAACTTCGCCTTGCTGCCTACCACTCTTCGTCTGGTCTCCCTCTTCATTCTTCGAAGCGGGGTGACCATGAACCGTGGGCACTAAAGGAATAGAAATCCTGCAACAGTAGTTCATTAGGGAGTGCTCTTAGGATCGACAGTTCCAGAGGGAAGAGAAGGAAGAAGGACAAAGGGGCAATTTAGGCTGCAGTACAGTCGTAACAAAGGCCTCAACCAACCCCATGCCAAGCTCTGAAGCCCAGATGGCTCATGGTGGTTGTCCCAGGTTGGGGCAAGGAGCCATGAGACTAAATGATGTCACCTGATAGGTGAATTATAGATATGAAGTCTAAGGACTGAGCTCTAGAGAACTGTAATGTTTATACCCCCATATCAACCAGTCATTAGAGACTGCTCTGGGAAGGGGACCTGAACTTGACTTTCTTCAGCCAAGGCAATTCCTGAAGAGTCTGACGGCTCACTGCCGTCTGCGAGCAACAGCCCCAGCGCCCAAAGTGTAAGTCCTTCACTTGTGAAGGGGAGGCTGCACAGTGTATGGTAGTGTTTACTACATCATCTTTAATCCCTCTCTTTCTCATATCCCTTATTTAATCTACCAAGAAAATGTTAGTGTTGCTTTCAGAATACATCTAGAATCTGATCACTTTTAAACTAGCTCTGCTATTGCCACGTTGGCCCATACCACCATCATCTCTTGCCTAGATTATTGTTATGTCCTCTTAACGGGTCTCCTGCTTCCCTCTTGCACCACTCTTTATAGTCTCCACATAGCATTTAGAGTAATCCTTTCAAAAGAAAGTCAAATGACATTACTCCAGTGCTCTGAGAATAGAATCCTAAATGATTTCTATTGCTTACGGCCTCCCCCCGCCCCGGCCAGTCTGGCCCCATAGCCTCTCTAACACTGCTCTCTTCCTTGCTCCTGCCTTTCCAGTCACCTTTCAGGGACCTTGCCGTTGTTTTCTGGTCTCTCTTGGCCTGCCTGTCTGCTAGCCTGATGTCCTCCCCACTTTGTCAGTTCCTCCTCTTCCTTCTCTCTCAGCCAGTCCAGGAGGTGAAAAAGATGTGTGTCATACCAACATTAATGACTTACCAAGGTTATCCAATGAGAAAATTACTGCAGAGTTTAAGAAAAGTTCAAGCCTTTTGCTTCTACTGATTTCTTTTATTCTTTTATATCTTAGTATAGAAAAATTAATGTATTTGAAGGTGAAATTTTAAGTTCATCTTGGTCATGGTTTCTTGTAAAGGATCATTATTTAGTGCTCCCCCCCCCACAGTTTCGAGGTGACTTCTAGTAAAATGCATTGCTCTTACTGCAGCTATGATGGGATTGAGGTCATGCCACCTCATACATGGAACTAATTATATCATGCTCTTTCTTTCCTGTACAGAGCTTTTCATCCTACTATAAAGGAGGATTTGAACAGAAAATGAGTAGGCGAGAAGCTAGTCTTATTTTGGGTATAAGGTAGGTGTGCTGAATAAGTATTATTTTGTTTGTGGCCAAGCTTGTTTTGGAAAAAGGAGAAAATGTTACAGTAAAGTTATCCTTATATTTTAAGTTATGAATAGGAGGCAGAGGAAGAAAATACAAAATTTTTACCTTTTAAAACTTCACATCTAAGAAAATATCCTACTCCCCCTAAAAAGATCAGGCATGATGTGATGTGTCTTTATTCCTTAACAAGGAACTCTTAATATTAATTTCACAGCAATTATCAAAATATCCCTTATTGTGACACTGAATTGTTTCTGGATTTAGTTTTATAATTTGCTATCTAATCGTTTTTCTGTTATAATATGGTATCTGTTTCACAATTATTTTCTATTTCCATAATTTGATCTAGCATATTTTATTATAATTGTTTCACCTTAGTATCTATTGTGTGACTTTGGACAGCATAGGAGAAAGTTAATGTTGTTGTGTGATTGCTCTGTGATATTTTCCTAACTTTAGTGTTACGTGATGTCCCCTGCTATAGATTTGCTAGTCGATATATCCATTTGTTTACCTTATGTTCCTTTAAAACTCCCTCAAATTTTTGTGGGGGTTGGTTATAGTATGTCATCTACAACAGATCTTCTGATGATTCAATCAACACAAGCAATATAGGTCATAAAGCCCTATGTTGATATAGTCTTTTAAATCTCTTGTAGATTAGCAGATTTTTAAGGCCAAAACATTTAATTACTTCTTTTGCCTTAGCAAGAAAAACAAAGGGGTGAAGAAGCAAGGGAAACAGCTCAGTTCAGCTTGGTGCTTTATTAAATAAAAGATGAAATATCTCACTGAGAATAGGTTTTAGGTAGAGGAACCAAATTAGGAAGTTGACTATATTGCTGATTATTATATGCTTTAATCTTATTCAGGATGGCGTTGTTATTTTTCTTGAAGTTTTATTGGGTCCCCACACCATCCCATTCATAGTCTTAAAATATGAATATACAAAGGTTCTTGAGAATATCATTTAACATCATCCAAGGCTCTCCTGTTATTGAGACAGATAATTAGAACTTAAGATTTATGGTTATAAGGGTTTATCCTGTTGAACTAGAAACTGTAGAAAATTTCACAAGGATAATTTGCTCGTTAAGAGTATATTCTCTAATAACAGGTGAGTCTGAGTATGAATACCGATTTTACCATTTACTAGCTGTGTGACCTCAGTGTCATCATTTGTAAAATAAACATAATGTCAGTTTCTATTGCCTCCTAGGATTGTTGTGAAGACATAGATAATTCTTAATATAAACATGGCACTTAGTAACTACTCAGCAAATACCAGCTGAGCAAAACAGATCCTCGTCCCAGTTCTATCACTAAAGCACTGCATTGTACAAGCCCGGTCAAGTAATTATTATTATCTTTTTAAAGATTTTATTTATTTGACAGAGAGAGCACAAGCAGAGGGAGTGGCAAGCAGAGGGAGAAGGAGAAGCAGGCTCCTGCTGAGCAGGGAGCCCGATGTGGGACTCGATCCCAGGACCCTGGGATCATGACCTGAGCTGAAGGCAGATGCTTAACCAACTAAGCCACCCAGGTGCCCCCCGGTCAACTTATTTTTAGCTCTTCTGCCCTTCAGTTTCTTCAGTTTTGAATAGAATTAATACTATTTAGGCTTGTTGAAATAATATAAAATGATAGGAGGATATCTTTTTATAAAAGTACCTACCAAATAACAGGCGCTAAATAAATGTTGGCTCCTCTTTCTTCCTATCTGTATCACAAATGCAGAAACTAAATATTTGCCCTTAACACATTAAATAGAAAAGTAAGCCTTATTTGCTTTCCTCTAGCCCTTTCTTTCAATCAGGTAGTGTAGATTTTGAAAAGATTCTTTAAGATGTGAATACATTGCTGTGGCTCCATTCTCTATGATCAATGAATCTAAACTATATAGACTATATAACAAGTAGGTAAAGGCAAAATGGAGCTGACTGTATTGATGATCTATTAAAAAATATTCTGTGTGCTACTAGATGATTCTGTACATTCTTACATATTTCATGAAGCCCAATATATTTTACCGAGCTGCCCAGAAAAACTATTATTTTACTTTCTGAAATGATGCACATGTGTGATTTTCATACTTTCTGAAAACTTCTGTGGAACTATGTTAAGCTAAATGTTATTCAAAAGACCAATAATAAAAACGATGAAACCAAAACTGCTCCATTTGCCACAGGATTAGAGAACACCACTCAGTTCCATGCACCCCACTTCCCAGTCCCAGTCAAATGGGGTACACATCCCAGGGAACACAGTGTGTATACTTTGATCTAGGAAATTTAATATTTAAAGTTATACTTTAAATTTCATGGTGAAATTGTTTGTCCTGGAGATCCATTGCTCTTTATTTAATTTTTATACTATGTTTAAGAACTACAATTCTCCCATCTTGTTTAATCTTTAGAACAACAAATAAATTTATTAAAATGTATTAAGTTCCTAGAGACTTAATATAGCAACAAGGAAAAGGGAATAAACTCTGTAGGCACACAAGAATACTTCCCTCATCCCCAAAGGTCACCACTAAGAGTCTGATAATTATTACCTTTTTTTTTTTTTAAAGATTTTATTTATTTATTTGAGAGAGAGAGAGAATGGGAGAGAGAGAAAGAGCATGAGAAGGGGGAGAGTCAGAGGGAGAAGCAGACTCCCTGCTGAGCAGGGAACCAGATGTGGGACTCCATCCTGGAACTCCAGGATCATAACCTGAGCCGAAGGCAGTCGCTTAACCAACTGAGCCACCCAGGTGCCCTGATAATTATTATCTTAAAGGCAGAATGTTTTGAATGGCCATACTTATACATATAAACTCTCCTTGCATTTCTTCCTTCCTCCAATCTATCTAGTTTGGTGGTTGGCAGATCTCATTGTATATAATGCTTTATGGACTTTTATGTACAAAATCATGTGTACTGTTTTTTTATAGGCAATGTAAGTGATTATCAAGGATAATCTATCAGGTATAATTATCAAGGATAATATTCAGATTTTGTCCTGTGTGCTAAATTAAAGTTTAATATCCAGAATAAGAGGCAACCTACCATATAAACTCCCCCCAAAAACACATAGAATGGAAATTTGGATTTTACTGAACTTATATCTTCATTATGTAGTGGTCCACATTTGATTTGCTTTCTGACATGTTTCTTAAAGCTCCTCTTTTTCTACTTTAATATTTTCTGTAATACAACCCTTATAGTGTTAGTATTTACTAATAGAGAGCCATTATTCTTTGAAGGAGTTTACCTTTTTATAGCCATTTTCTTTTAGAGGGCTGTATAAAATGCATTAAGCACCTATTGCATATTTAATACTAGATACTATTTTAAGATACAAATCATAGCTTCTGCTCTTTAGTATCTACCTAAGGAGACATGTCAAATATCTACAGAAGAGCTAGGAAACATAACTAATAAAGGAAAGCAGTGCTACCGAGCACCACAAAAGAGAATGAGAAATGTAGACTTACTACAGGAAACTAAACATACTGGAATTTAAAAAAAAAATAATGTGTTCTTCATTTCTTAATAGGCAGTTAAAAGTGTTCATAGCCCTGGTGCAGTGTTTAATGACTTCTTTTTCAAAATTTAGTAGTCTTTAGAATCAGACAGTGTCTTGATTGGCTATCTGGGAAGTATCTACAAAACAAAAAGTAAGTTTGAAATGGTCCCCCAGAGGACTTTCACAAAACAGCAAAAAGGAATACCCTAATAGTCCTTACACTAAAAGACTTTTTTATTTTTAATTTTTTTTAATTTTAAAAATTCTCCTTTAGTTTTATTGACATATAATTGACAAAAAAACATTGTATATGTAGGATGTAAAACATACTGATTTGCTATATGTATAATATGTATAGATTGCAAAATGACTACCACAGAAATTTTAATTAACATCCTTCACCTCACGTAGTTACAGATTTATTTTTTCTTGTGATGAGAACTTTTAAGATCTACTCTTTTAGCAACTTCCAAATATAAAACACAGCATTGTTAACTGTAGTTACCATGCTGTACATTTCACCCCCAGGACTTACTTATCTTATAACTGTAAGTTGTACCCTTTGACTACCTTCACCTATTTCCCCCAACCTCCTACTCTTGCCTCTGGCAACCACCAATCTGTTCTGTTTCTGTGAGTTTGGCTTTTTCAGATTCCACATATAAATGTGATCATAGAGTATTTGTCTTTCTCTCTCTCTCTCTGACTTATTTCACTTAGCATAATGCTCTCAAGGCCCATTCATGTTGTCAACAAATAGCAAAATTTTCTTTTTTATGACCTAAACGTATTCTGGTGTGTGTGTGTGTGTGTGTGTGTGTGTGTGTGTGTGTGTCAGTCACATCTTTTGATCCATTCATCTGTTGATGGACACAGGTTGTTTCCATGTCTTGGCTATTGTAAATAATGTTGCAGTGAACATGAGGGTACAGATATCTCTTTGAGACAGTCCTTCAGATATATATCCAGAAATGGAATTGCTAGATCATATGGTAGTTCTATTTTTTAATTTTTTCAGAACCTCCATTGTATTCCATGGTAGCTCTACCAGTTTACATTTCCACGAACAGTTCCCTTTGCATCTAACACTTGTTTATTTCTTGTCTTTTTGATGACAGTCATTCTACAAGCTGTGAGGTGATATCTCATTGTGGTTTTGATTTGCATTTCCCTGATGATTAGTGATGCTGATCACCCTATTTACCTGTTTGCCATTTTATGTTTTTGGAAAAAGGTCTAGTCAGATCCTCCACTCATTTTGAAATCAGATCTACCTATCTATCAGCTCTGCTATATTATTAAATTGTATGAGTTCTTTTTTTTTTTTTTTTAAGATCCTGTTTATTTATTTGACAGAGAGAGACATAGCGAGAGCAGGAACACAAGCAGGGGGAGTGGGAGAGGGAGAAGCAGGCTTCCCGCAGAGCAGAGAGCCCAATGCGGGACTCGATCCCAGGACCCTGGGATCGAGCTGAAGGCAGACGCTTAATGACTGAGCCACCCAGGGGCCCGAATTATATGAGTTCTTTATTTTGGAAATGACCTCTTATTAGATATATGATTTGTAAATATTTTCTCCCTATTCCATAGGTGACATTTTTCATCTTGTTGATGGTTTTCCTTACTGTGTAGAAACTTTTTAAAGTTTGATGTAGTCCCACTTGTTTAATTTTTTGTTGCCTTTGCTTTTGATTTCAAATTTAAAAATTACCGCAAAGACTGATGTCAAGGAGCTTACCCCTTGTATTTCTTTCTAGGAGTTTTATGGTTTCAGATCTTTAGTTCAAGGCTTTAATCCATTTTGAGTTGATTTTCATGTGTGGTGCAAGATAAGGGTCCGGTTTCATTCCTTTGCATGTGGCTGTCCAGATTTCCCAATACCATTTATTGAGGAAACTATCATTTGTTTTCTGTTTTTGGTTCCTTTGTCATAAGTTAATTGACCATATATATATGGATTTATTTCTGGGTTCTCTATTCTGTTCCATTGATGTATGTGTCTGTTTTTAACCTAATACTGTACTGTTTTGATTATTATAGTTTTGTAATATAGTTTGAATTTAGGAAGTGTGATGCCTCCAGCTTTGTTCTTTCCCAAGATTGCTTTGGCTATTTGTAGTCTTTGTGGTTCCATACAAATTTGAGGATTGTTCCACTTTTGTGAAAAATGCCTTAGGAATTTTGATAGGGATTTCATTGTATCTGTAGATTGCTTTGAATAGTATGGACATTTTAACAAAATGAATTCTTCCAATCCATGAGTGTGGGATATCCTTCTATTTATTGGTGTTTTTAATTTCTTTCACCAATGTCTTAGAGTTTTCAGTGTATAGGTCTTTAACCTCCTTGGTTAAATTTATTTCTAGGTATTTTATTCTTTTTGATGCAATTTCTTTTTCTGATAGTTTGTTATTAGTGTATATAGAGGGGCAACAGATTTTTGTATATTGATTTTGTATCCTACAACTTTACCGAATTGGTTGGTTAGTTCTAACAGTTTCAGGGTTTTCTTTATGTAATATCATGTCATCTGCAGTTTTACTTCTTTGTTTCTGATTTGGATGCCCTTCATTTCTTCTTGCCTAATTGCTCTGGCCATGACTTCCAGTACTATGTTGGAAAAAAGTGGTGAGAGCAGACAACCTTGTGTTGTATCTGATCTAAGAGGAAAAACTCTGAGCTTTTCACCATTGAGTATGATAGTTGCTATGCATTTGTCATATGGCCTTTATCATGTTGAGGTATGTTCCCTCTATACTAACTTTGTTGAGAGTTTTTGTCATGAATGGGTGTTGAATTTTGTCAAGTGTTTTTCTGCATCTTTGGAAATGTCATATGATTTTTATCCTTTATTTTGTTTCACATTTATGGTGATTGATTTGTGGATATTGCACCATCCTTTCATCCCTGGAATAAGTCCTATTTGTTCATGATGTATGATCCTTTTAATGTTTTGTTGAATTTGGTTTGCTAATATTTTGCTGAAGACTGGCATCGATGTTCATCGGGCATATTGGCCTGTAATTTTCTTTTCTTCTAGTGTCCTTGTCTGCTTGTGGTATCAGGATAATGCTTGCCTCATAAAATGAGTTTGGAAAGCTTTTCCTCTTCTATTTTTTGGAAAAGTTTGAGGAGAATTGGTATTCTTTAGATGTTTGGTAGATTTCAGTGAAGGTGTCTTGTCCTGGGGTTTTCTTTGTTGGGAGGTTTTTGATTAGTGATTCAATCCATTGTTAATAATTGGTCTGTTCAGATTTCCTATTTCTTCCTCATTCAGTCTTGGTAGTTTATATGTTTGTAGGATTTATCTCTTCTACATTGTCCATTTTGTTGGTGTATAATAGTTGATAATAGTCTCTTATGATCCTTTGTATTTCTTCAGTTGTAATGTCTTCTCTTTCATTTCTGATTTTATTTGAGTTCTCTCTGATTTTTTCTTGTGAGTCTAGCTAATGGTTTATCTTTTCAAAAACACAGCTCTTAGTTTCATTAAGACAATAAAAGACAACCTTTTATTGTCTTTTTAATCTCTGTTTCATTTATTTTTACTCTGGATCTTTGTTATTTCCTTCCTTCAACTAACTTTGGCTTTAGTTTATCCTTCTTTTTTCTACTTCCCTGAGGCATAAATAAAGTTGTTTATTTGAGCTCTTTCTTTTTTCTTAATATAGGCGTTTATTACTATAAACTGACTATAAACTTCCATCTTAGAACTGCTTTTGCTGCATCCCATAAATTTGTTATATTTCCATTTTCATTTGCATTTTTCTCAAGATGTTTTTTTCGCTTTTGATTTTATCTTTGACTCAAGACATTTTTTTATTCATAGAAGAATATTTTATATTTAGCAATTGATAGTGTGTTTTAACATGCTTGGTGATCTGTTATTTAACCTCAAAAGATTAGAAGTATAAGTAACTGTCAAGGAATAGCTAGACTGGAACAATGGCAGAATCAAGGGTTCACAGCTGATATCAAGGGAGGCAGTGCTAAAAATAGACAGAAGAACTTAAATGGAAAGCATTCTAGGACTCTTTTAAGACAAGGGTGAACAAATCTCTGTGGATCTTAAGAATTTCTTTGCACTTAATTTATGCTCAGGTTAATACTTTTGAGTCATTCAAGAAACATTAAATTAGGTTACTTATATTACATTTTTAAAAGTGGGAAATATGTGATATATTTTCATAAGCATGTTTTATCTTTATATAATAACTAAAGGCTAGTTATTTTTGAACACTTTGAACACTAACTGTGCTAGGTTATGATGATCCTTTTACTTGCATTATCTAATTTATTCTTAAAATAATCCTGGGAGGTAGTTTATTTTATTTATTTATTTTTTTAAATTTTATTTATTTATTTGACAGAGAGAGAGACAGCGAGAGAGGGAACACAAGCAGGGGGAGTGGGAGAGGGAGAAGCAGGCTTTCAGCAGAGCAGGGAGCCCAGTGCGGGGCTCGATCCCAGGACCCTGGGATCATGACCTGAGCCAAAGGCAGACACTTAATGACTGAGCCACCCAGGCGCCTTGTGGGAGGTAGTTTAGTATGTCCATTTTACTTATGAGAGAATTTTCACTCAGAGAGTTTAAGTGAGCAAGACAGCGTTTTTCAGCTAATGAATGGTGGAATCAGGATGTTGAACCTATGTTTGAATATCTCTAAAAGTACCTGCTTTTATCCGGTACAGTGTGGTTCATCCATACAAATTAAATTGCTTTGAGCTTTACAACAACCACTCTGTACTTTAAGTCAGCTGCCATTATCCCGATTTGAGACCCAGAAAAGTTGAATAACTTAGATAAGATAGTATAGCTATTAATTAGCAATACCAGAATTTTGTTGTTGTTAACTGTTAATTTTGTTTTCTTGCTTGGAAAATGTGCTAGTCAGAAACTTTTCCAATACTGGATAAATTAGTTTTTACTGAAATAATTTTAAGTTTATTTAACTTTCTCAATTTCTGTTACAGCTTTTCCCATAGGTTTCTCACAAGTTAAATAAATTATGAGCTATGAAGAGTTTTGAGATGCTCTGTTGAAACATAATAATAATAATAATAAAAGCTAACTGTTTTGGAGCACTTGCTACATGCCAGGCACTGTTCTAGCACTTCGTTGGCTTTAACTAATTTAATCCCTACAGTCGCTCTATGAGGAATATGTTGTTCTTAGCCCTGTTTTACAATGAGGAAACTGAAGTACAGAGAGGTTAAAAGTTTTGACCAAGTTTACCCCATCCTAAATAGCAATGGAAATGAAATCTGGCAGTCTAGTAGCTCCGGAGTCCAGATACCTGCCTGTTACATTATGTAAACTGCCTTCTCCCCAAATTACTTGAGGCATATATTTTCAATCTCAGTATAGTCTATAGACTATGACTTTCCTACCCTGTATGTTGTGTTTTATTTTATTTATTTATTTTTTAAAGATGTATTTATTTTAGAGAGAGAGCATGAACGGGAGGGCCAGAGGGAGAGGGAGAGAGAATCTCAAGCAGATTCCACGATGAGCCTGGAGACCAACTTGGGGCTCGATCTCAGCACCCTGAGATCACAACCTGAGCTGAAACCAAGAGTGGGTTGCTTAACTGACTGTGCCACCCAGGTGCCCCTATTGTGTTTTATTTTTTAAATTGATTGAAAATAGAGACTGGCATTACAAAGGAAGAAAAATACATGCAACATTGAATCAACAGTTTATTTTGATGGTTAGTAGACTTAAGTGACAAGCTGTAATTTCATATTTATCCACAAGATGGTGAAATTCTCATTAGTTTTTAATTCCTTGAAACCCATATAAACTGTCAATTTATAATCTGCATTTGACACTATTTATTATAAGCACTTTAATTTCTTTTTACAGCCCATCTGCTGGCAAGGCCAAGATTAGAACAGCTCATAGGAGAATCATGATTTTGAATCACCCAGATAAAGGTAGTAAAATTCCTATTTTTCATAATATGTGGATCTGAATCTGCTCTGAATTCCTTTCAGTTTTCTTAAACTCATTATAAGTGATATATGTAAGTGATATTTATATATATATTGTTGAAATAGAAGTTTATGTGCCACATGTATTGTGATTTTTCTTACAAATAAATAAGCTTTTGGATTGGAGTTCAGTAACCCACAGAGGTGGTGGATTCATATTATCAGCTTTCAAGAACTTAGTTACTGATTTTTATATATGTGTACCTAGCCCCTGTTTGAGGCTCCTAGCATTTTGACTGGGAAAGAGAAAACATGAGTTGTGGACTCTGTGTGAATTGATATGGACATCATGAATTATGTTTGTTTAACCTTAAACATAAAAGCATAAGATTTAGAGGGTATCTTCTAAATCTCTGTACTATGTCATAGATAATTCTGAATTTCTTAATTTTATTCTGGATTGCTCTGAGGCTGAGCCATTTGTTTTTAACTGGCCAGGTTTTTAATGTAAATTTATCTTACAGAAAGACAATTATTATTACTTTAACTACACTACAGCTGCTTGAGAGAGAAAGCCCATATGTTCATTACTGTTTCTTCTCTAAAATAACAGATGGTAGAAAGTTGCACTGTATTTCAGAAGTCAAGGGTGCGGTGGGGGAGGAGAGTGAAGGGTTTTTTGGATTCTTATTTACAGACTTTCAGTTTTCCAATTTTTTTGAAAAAAAATAAAAACAAATTTTGGATTTCTACACATCCTAACTGACACCAAAGTAGGGCATTCTTTTTCAGTTTTCTCACTTAATTATGTACTATAAAAATTCTTTTCACTAAACATCATCTTTGGCTTTTTTATTTGCTCTTCTTTAGTATGAATAAATAAGAGAATAAACTTTGAAAAGAGATTTTGCTTAAAATTTCTAAATAGCTTCAACAGTTACTAAAAGATCCACTCAGCTAATTTACTTCGCATTGTGGGCTTTCAGAGTAATTGACTCAGAAAGAAATGTGTTTAAAGTGCCTCCTTGAAGCCCTCTGTCTCCTACTAAACATCCTTTGTCCCTTCCAGGTCAAGTGTATGCCCTTCTCTGATTGATTGCAGTAGGATCAGGCACTCATGTCTTTCAGATGATTGACAAGTTGTTGATTGTGCCTACTGGCAAGGAAGCAAGTTCTAAAATGTATCTAAGAGAAAATGTATTTTTAGATATATTTAGTAAAAAAAGAAAATGTGTGTCCTATGAGCCATAGTATTTACAGAATTACTTGATTTACTCTGAGGTCATATATTTATCAGAGGTGGGATTGTGACTGCCTGTAGTATGCTTACTCATATCCTGTCTGGCCCTGTGTAGGTAGCAGGATGTGAGGGAATGGACCTGGAAGCCGGAGGCTGGTGTTTTTCTCTGGCTTCTGCCTTCTAACTAGCAGTATGACCTTGAACACTCCCTTTACCTCTCGAAATGTCAATTTTATCTTCTACAAAATGAAGGGGTTTATTTCTAAAGTCCTTTTTGTTAAGTAATATAATATCTTTATATGCCTATTCAATTAATGAAGAAGCTGTACCCTATATTTCTATTCAGATCACTCAAGAAAGATGCTTTTAATCATTTTGGATTATTGTACCCTCTAAGAATGTATTGACAACTGTGGACATTTTGTTCATATAATTGCTCAGTCACCCACAATTTTAAAAACATTTGGAGTTTCAGAGAGTTCATAGATTTCCCAACACCCATGTGTACGCTCACAGTTAAGAACTCCTGCTCTAATAAAAGTAGGGTGAATTAAGGAATATTGCCATCACTGGAGGGAGAGTATTCATGGATGATGGAGTTGGGAGATGATAACTCATAAATCCTGAAATGGTCTCTTGAGAAGGAAGGTCGTTTTTTCTTTTTAATGAGAAGAAGGTAACAGATTTTCAACAAAAATGTCTCATTGTCTTCAGAGAGAGAAAGCTAGAAGTATTTGGGGAAATATGAGAATGGGGAACTCTTAATTTTGTCTCTTCTTTTGTTTTTTTTAATATTTTATTTATTTATTTGACAGAGACACAGCCAGAGAGAGAACACAAGCAGGGGGATTGGGGGAGCAGGGAGCGTGATGCGGGGCTCGATCCCAGGACTCTGGGATCATGACCCAAGCCGAAGGCAGACGCTTAATGACTGAGCCACCCAGGCGCCCCAGTTTTGTTTCCTTTTTTTCTAATTCCTTATCATATTTGCTTTGGCCAGGTCAGCACTGACCGAGTGTTATATAGGTAGTTGCAAAAACTTAAATCCTCTACTCCATGCTTCTGAAATTCATGAATGTACCCCCACTTCATCCCCAAGTCACATTTCTGCTGGTTTTGCTGCCAGCCAGTAAAACAAGGTAGAACTTCAAATGTGTGATCAACTATAATTTGTCACACATTTCATTATCAACTTATGCAAAGAAAGTGACACGAAAAAATCAGGTGTAGGGATGGCTGAAAATTTTTTGTAACCAGTTTTAAAGGAGCATTCAGATGTGTTTTGGTACAAAGTAAATTTTGCTGTTCAATTTAGTGAGATAAAATCTCAGTTGATCTAATACTTTCAGATTAATATCTTTAGATTATGCTTTTTTAAATTGCTGAAGAGAGGTTAGTTGTTAGGAAATAAGCAGTTGATATTATGCTTAATGAATATAAAAAGGAAGGCAGACTAGGTAAATTTGAAAAGCTGTAGAACCTCAGCAATCTCTTATAAACTCTAATTCAGTGCTACTCAAAAGTATAGTTTGCTTGTTCATGTGGGCCAGTTTGTTACCTGTATGCAATGAATTAAGAACAGAAATCAAAAGTAAGCATTTAGAAACCCTTGTAGCAGTTTGACATTGTGGTAACATCCAAATGTGTGATTACAAAATTACTTTTGTAATTTGTAAATGTGTTGGTCCATCAGGAACTGGAAATTTTTTTAGAGGTGCTTCTTCACCGTAGTGAAGACACTGATCTGATCAATGCTGCCTGCTAAATCAAGACTGTTTCTGCTCTATCCTGGGGAAAATGTCCTGTTAGCTCTCCTTAAAGATTTTTTTTTTTTACTGATGGAGAGCTTCCTGCTTGACAAGAAGCCCACTTGTAGGCAGCTCTAACTACTAGAAAGTTCTTCCTTATATTTAACTGAAATCTGCCTGCCTGCAGCAGAGAGTCTCATTCTTTTTTCATTTATGCCCCCTTTCAATAAACATTCAGTACTCTCACTCTTTTTTAATAGTATTTAAGTAGGGCTCCCGGGTGGCTCAGTCGGTTAAGCGTCTGCCTTTGGCTCAGGTCATGATCCCAGGGTCCTGGGATTGAGTCCCACATTGGGCTCCCTGCCCAGTAGGGAGTCTGCTTCTCCCTACCCCCTGCTTATGTTTTCGCTCTCTCTCTCTCAAATAAATACATAAAAATCTTTAAAAAATAGAATTTAAATAAAAAGTATTGGGACTAAAAACAAACCAAAGTATACCATTGAATGGATTTTCCCTAATTGCTCTCATTGTAAAAGAAGCTAAATTTGACAAAAAGTCCTGGTAATAATATATTACAATTTATTATGATATATTACACTTAAAAGATGTATTATAAACATTTACAAAAAGAAAGACATGACCACCGGGAGCCAAAATGAATTCACTAAGAAAAAGTTATGCCTAATTAGCTTGATTTCCTTTTTTGATAGATGTAACTACACTATTACTTGTTTCAAAGGTCTTATCTTTTCTTCCCCTTATTTCAACATTTTAATTAGATTTAAGGCTTTGTATTTGAGTTAGTAACTTCTTTGGTAAAAGTATAATTTAGTTTTATCCACATTGATTTTCCTTGATAAATGGTGTGATCTCTGAAAGGTAAAGAACATGGCTTATTCATCTTTATAATCTCTATGGCTGACATTTAAACTCTTAAATTTTTTTCATGAGTGAATAAATAAGCAAATGGATAAAATGAAGGCATACAAATAAAATGTATGGGTAAAATAGAATTGGGATTGATAACTAATACATAATGATCATATGAAAAATTTTAAAGATTCATTACACTGATATGAAACTACCTATAACTATTCTTTCATTCATTCAGAAAGTATTTATTCAACTTCTCTAAGGTGCCAGGTGTTGTAAATCTTGGGGCTTTAACTGTAAAACAGGACAACTAGAGCCTTGTCTTCATAGAGCATGTATGCTGATGGAGGGACAGACAAAAAATTAAGTAAACCTATTTCACGTTGTAGTAAGTATAGAGAAGGGTGCAGCAGGCAGAGATATAGAGTATGAGAAAGAGGCAGCTTTACATAAAGTGACTGGGAAGACCTCTGTGAGGAGAAACCTAAAGGATGGAAAGAAGGTATTGTGTGAAGAATGGTTTGAAGGTTGGAGAACTAGCATATGCAAAGGCTCTAAGGGAGGAAAGAATATAATATGCTTAAGGACTTGAAAGAAAACTAGCTTGATAGGGGTGTAATATGCAAGGGGAGAGATACCCTGAAATGAGGTGGTGTTCACAGTTTGAAAACTGCAGGTATGCTTTCTGATAATGAAACACTATATGTGCTATGTAATACTTGAACTTGATTCTAAAGACTGTGGGAAGTTTCTGTCAGCTTTTAAGCAGTAGAGTGATGTAATTTAATTTACTTTTAAGAAACCGCTTTTCTCCTCAATCTCTCCTTATTCTTTTTATTTTTAAATATACTTCGTATTGAAGTATACAGGCAGAAAAGTGGACAAATCATTAAGTATATATCTAAATAAATTTTTACGAACACCCATGTAACCAGCCTCCAGGTCAAGAACTAGAACATCATCACACCTCTGAATCCCCTTCATGAGCCCTCCCAGTCTACTTCATCCCTAAAAGGAACCACTATCTTGATTTATAATATCATAAGTTAGTTTTGCCTCTTTTGAATGTGTGTAGTCATTTGCATCTGGTTGCTTTCAGTCAATATTTATCCTTGTGAGAATCATCCATATTGTAATGTGGA